CCCCCCCGGCCTGGCCTATCTCTCCTGAAGAGCTTGTAGCCATCCAACACAGCACTCCAGTTGTGTGTATCATCCCACCATGTCTCCACGATGGCAATTATATCACAGTTTTCCTTTTGCACAATGGCTTCCAGCTCTTCCTGTTTGTTGCCCATGCTGCATGCATTGGTGTAGAAGCACTTTAACTGGGCTAGTGATTTTGCCTTTTCTTTGAAGGGAGAAGGCCTGACTCCCGTTTGACCTCTCCCTGTCACTGCCTCGACACCTGGCAGGCCAGTGACCATTGGGTCTGACCTATCTCCAAACATAGTGCACTCAATCTCTGCTTGATGACACTAAATTGGGAGGTAGTGTTGATCTGCCTGAGGGTCGGGAGGCTCTACAGAGGGACCTGGACAGGCTGGATCGATGGCCTGAGACTAACTTTATGAAATTCAGCAAGACCAAGTGCTGGGTCCTGCACTTGGACCACAATAACCCCCTGCAGCATTACAGGCTTGGGGAAGTGTGGCTGGAAAGCTGCACAGCAGAGAAGGGACCTGGGGGTGCTGGTCGACAGCCGATTGAACATGAGCCAGCAGTGTGCCCAAGCAGCCAAGAAAGCCAACGGAATCCTGGCATGCATCAGAAACAGTGTGGCCAGCAGGAGCAGGGAAGTGATTGTCCCCCTATACTCAGCACTGGTGAGGCCACACCTGGAGTACTGTGTCCAGTTTTGGGCCCCTCACTTCAAGAAGGACGTTGAGGTGCTGGAGCGAGTTCAGAGAAGGGCAACAAAACTAGTGAAGGGTTTAGAGAACTTGTCCTATGAGGAGCGGCTGAGGGAGCTGGGACTGTTTAGTCTGGAGAAGAGGAGGCTCAGGGGGGACCTTATCGCTCTCTACAATTACCTGAAAGGAGGTCGTAGGGAGATGGGGGTCGGTCTCTTCTCCCACGTTATGAATGACAGGACGAGAGGGAAAGGCCTCAAGTTGCGCCAGGGGAAATTTAGGTTCGATATCAGGAAGAACTTCTTTACAGAGAGGGTTGTGAAGTATTGGAACGGGCTGCCCAGGGAAGTGGTGGAGTCCCCATCCCTGGAGGTGTTTAAAAACCATGTAGATTTGGTGTTGCGCAATATGGTTTAGGGACCCTGACAGTGCAGGGCGAATGGTTGGACTTGATGATCTTGCAGGTCTCTTCCAACCAGATGATTCTATGATTCTAGGTCATGACTCATCTTGTCCAAATGTAGATTTCAAGAATAATTACATGAATCACTCTAAAACTGTGATTATTTCTCTCCACTATAATCGGAAATTATAAAGGGAGGACAAGGTGATATGCATACACCTACCCTGTCAATGTTTCCAGGGAGGTGAGATGAAACTCCTACAGGTCTAAGACAGGTGTGCTGAATTGTCCTCTGAAGAGTCTTAATCCTTTCCATTGCTTAGGAAACAAGTCAATGGCAGGCACCTAGCTTAGACTAGACACTTAACTTCTAAGTTCCTAAAATTAAATTAAATTACTGCCACTCTAAATCTGCATATGCCATTAATAAGCAACTATTTTTTTCTGGAACTGCTGGCCATTCTCCAAAAGAGGTATCAAGGATTCAGGAAGTAAATGCAAAGAAATTTATGAGAAGTTTCACATTTAATTTCTTAGTATTTTATTTAAAGCTTTTTATTTTAAATTATACATTTTCCCCTTCCATGATCAATTTGTAACTCCAAAATACAGAACAGATCAACTCTCCTTTGGCATTGGCAGGGTTAATCTGAGTACTCTGATGGCAGTGAATTTGTGTCTGGCTGGTTGAGGGCAGGTTTGGACCCTTTCTCCATAACTCTTTGATGACATCAATCTCTTCTACTTCAAGTGCTTGTTTGTCCGAAACTTGAGGAGCAAGAAGATTGCCTGCTGGAAGTTGTCTCCCGTTACTACATAGAGTAGTAAGTTTCCAACAGTATTTAACGCTGCTAAAGGTTTAGCTACAATAAACATAAAACGAAACGTGTCCCTAAAGTTGCAGTTAACCGGTCGTACTCGGAGCTCCAGCCAAATCCCCCTAAGGATGTGGAAGGGAAGGAAGCACACATAGAAGACCACCAAGAGGACAACGGCGAGTCTGCGAGCCTTTTGTTTGTAGCAAGCCCGCGTGTGCGGCCCAGTAGCCAAGGCGTAAATAATGAGCACGTAGCACAGCGTCACCGTCAACAAGGGCAAGAAGAAGGCAAACATCGTCAGCAGCCAGTTATACCACCGGCTAGTGTCAATGTCCTTAGCAGCAGCCAGGTCCGGGCAGATCGTCCTGTTCTGCTTATGCCTTGTAGCAATCAAGACACTCAAGGGGCTGACGGTTGCCATGGAAATCATCCAAACTATAATGCAAGTCACCACTGCCCATCTCCGTTTTTGAACAAAAGAGTATTTGATTGGGTGGACAACTACAAAAAAGCGGAAGATGCTGAAGCAGCTAAGGAAGATAATACCACTGTACAAGTTGAAGTAGAAACACAGGTGAATAAACTTGCACATGAAGTCTCCAAAAATCCAGTCATTTCCGTTAGAAGAGTAGACTATAAAGAAAGGAAGAGTGGCAATATATAATAAGTCAGTGACAGCCAGGTTTAACATAATGATGGTGCTGCTTTTCCAGGGCCTCATCTTGACACAGTAAACAAAAATTGTCATGATGTTCCCTGGGAAGCACACCAGGAAGATCAGGCCATAAAGGACGGAGAGATAGGATTTCAACTGTAAGAATTCTTCATCCTCGCAGCTTTCCGAAGGGTCTGTGTGGGCTGGCAGAGCAGTAAAGTTTTCAGTGTGCCCAGATCTCATGTTTGCAGAAATCTTCTTAAAGCTTTACAAAAATCAGATATTTAGTTTTAATTGATTTGTTGGGATAAATGCATTCAGTTAAATCTTTTGTCACTGGAGCAAATGTCGTATGTTTGACAAGGCATAGTAGAGGGAGGGAATAGGGATTTGCTAACATACCCAGCTCTGATCTAGATAACCCCACTCAAATGTTTAATTTCACCCTTCCCTCTCCCTTATGTTTAATATTGATAATGATTAATTTCACTCTTGTTCTATTTAACCTCCTACACTGAAGAAGACAATTACTGCTTATCTGCAAACCTTCAGGAGTAGGAAGCACACGTTTAGAGAGCTAGAGAGAGTTTGGGCTTAGATTTTGCAAAACTATGAATTAGTCCTAGCCTTTCAGAAAGTAGAACCATACCCATATCTTATCTTCATTACCGTGAGCTAATCAGTATTTTGTGCTCATGAAACCAGAGATGCTGTTCTGGTTTCATAAAACCCAAAATATGTTAAGTTCAGATACACATCTCAGGACCTGATCTTCCCATAACCTGACAATCATGGCTGATCCCCTGAATGTGATCTTACTCTCTTGGAATCATCAGAGTATAAAACTAGTGTAAATGTATTTTCTTAAAAAAAAAATCAAGCTTCATAGTGGCATAAAACTGATTTTAATGATTAAAGACTGTTTCTCAAAGTGCAGAGGGAAGATGGAAAGCACAGATATTGAGTGAAGGCACTGATTTTGCTTCCCATCTTGTGCGAATAGGAGCTAGATAGACTTGTCTCTGAAACGGTTTCTCGTCTGCCACAGCCAATTTGGGTCTCTCCACAGCGAGTACAAGACATAACCTTTCTTGGTAGTGTTTTAACCTGAAAGAATGGTAACCAAGGATGAAAATTATCTCATCTAACTTCAGATATCAGAAAGTTAGATGCTTAAAGTGGAGCCAGTCCTCCTAAGCTCCGCTTTATCATCAAGGGAGAGATGTAGGTTCCTCCAGGACATAATACACCTTCCTACAAGTGAGATTTTTATCTCTTTCCATTAATGACAAAGGCAGCCCAATGTGACTAGTTCAGATCTGGATGTCTAATCTTCAGATGTCTCAAGTGAAGTAAGAGGCATGCCACTGTGTGTCTTCCACATCTCAGGTGAGCACCACTCCTCCAGAACCTAACCTATTCCATCTGAGAAAATATTTTTAAGTGACTTCATAAACTGCTAGACGGGGTACTATCAAGCCCAAATCCCTCTCTCTTCTCCTAGAAACAGTCTTTAAACTAATTCCGTGTTACATTGAATATCCAGGATGAAGTCATTGCATTAAAAAAAAAACATACAGAATTGTCCCTTATTACAGTATTGTAAACCCTGTGTATAGAATTAGTTTTTGATGTGATTCAGTTAACGGCATTTAGCATGTTACCTGTATGTTTCTGAGCATGACAAATTTTCTCTGACAAAGCCAGTCATTAAAGCTGGGACACAACAGGAGTTATTTGATCATAACCAGTTAGAAAGATGGTTATCACTTTGTTACTCAGGAGCATGTCAGAGAGAAATTTGAACCATCTCCCCATAACTTAGTTAAAACACTAATGCTTTTCAGTACGAATGTTAGCTCTGGTATAGCAGCTTTGCAGCCAAAGATGCATTAGGTAAAGGCTATGAAGCTTGTTTTAAGCAAATCCAGATTTACATTCAGACAAAAGCTAGGGATGTACACATTTTCTCTCTTTGCTGCTGCTCAGTGACACTACTGTCACGCACATTTATGCCTCTCACTGGTATATTTCAAGGAAAGTTAGACAACATTTTCTAGAATATTTGATTCATCCCCAGTTTAGTTTTCCAGCACTGCTGATCAGTGCAAATCAAACTGAAAACAGAGAAATATTTCTTACCTGGAAACTTGCAATTCTGCTTCTCCCTTTGATACTACTTTGAGCAAAGAGTACTACAAATGAAATGTATTTATGTCCTCCTCACAGAGAAGCAGGTTTTAATGTGGCTTTGCAACCACGTACATTCACTCCCTGGCAGACTGAGACTCCATGTGGCCGTAAATTAGGAGACTGGTAGAAAACCTCAGTTACGGGCTCCAGTATCAGCTCTTACACCTGGGTGACCGTATGAGATCTCTTTTTCATGCTGTCTTGCCTTCAGCAGGCAGATCACACTTTGCTGGCAGCAGTTCTGCGTGCTGAGATAGACCTGTAGTATTCAAATAGCAGCAGATCACATTTAAATTAGAGTGTATGTGTGCACGCATGTGTTTATAAAAGAGAAAATTAAATTCATTCTCCATTTCCTGTAAGGTGAAACCTGATCACCAAAGTGAATAAGGTGTGTTGCCATTTCAAGGTCAGGTGAAAAACGTTGTGACATAATGTCTTCATTAGAAACAAGTTTCTAACAAAGTACAATTTTCATCTCATTTAAGAAATGAAGGTTTCTCTCTTGGCGTGATGTGCTTTTCAGGAACTGTGGCACACTTTCTACTTATTTTTGGTGAATAAAATACCTACAATTAGTGTTGGCAGGTTATTACTGGGATAGCTGAAGTTGCAAACTTGTTTTCTTTTGAGCCTTTCCTTTTGGGCTTCATGATTCAAGAGCTGCAATTTTCCACGCTTCTTGAACCAAAAGACTAGTCTTGGATAAAAATCTCATTATCATCCTTAGTTCAAGGAACAAGATCAAAAGAGATTATTATTTTAAAAGAAAAAAAAGGCATCGTATCTTGAATTTTGAAAGTGCAGGCTTCAGTCCCTGAGTGTGCAACCTTCCCCGTGCAAAGAGCCCTCAGCTGCCCAGTGTGGCCAGCAGCCTTTTTACCTTGGTGCATTTTATAAGCCCTACTCACTGATGAGGCTTATGATCCCGTATTAAATGAGCAAGCTTTCATTTCTGAACATTATATATGTCAGTGTAGTTACTGAGAACCACACAGATAAGAATATTTTTAGGAAGACTGTCTTGACTCTCCTTGAGTGCCCATACCATAGGCATGAGTTGG